AGTGTGTGATCCCCTTAAGACTGTTAATTTATGATTACCGTTTGAAATGGCTATCTGAAACGTTCAAACCAAGATCACTTCGAAATTGTCATGAATAACATCAACAAAAAGACAGCCGAATATGTGTGAGTAGCGATTATTATAGTAAATATGGTGAATCAGGAAAAACATCAAAATAATCTTGCAATTTGTCTAGCTATTCCAAAATTATTTCATGCACAAAATCATAACATCACGATTTCGTCTTGACTGTATGTGAACAAGAAACATTTTGTTGTGATTGTAATTATGAGTAATTAAAATACATCCATGCTATATAAGCCCGATAAGCTGTTAGAAACCTTATATACTTTCTATATTCAGGATATAACAGCACATCGTTATTATAAAATATATATAATATATATAATAAAATATCAAAACTGATAATGTGGTTAGACCGTTTGAGATAGCTCAAACATTTTTATTGAAGGTTTTTATATCTTATGGATAAATTAATAAAGTCCTTTAATAGCACTGTCTGTAAACAGTGTCAACAACAACAAAAAACTCTCTGAGGATTTGCTTTCTACTAGTATTTTTATTGTTTAATTATTGCTTAAGTAAATGCATTTGCTGTGTGTGCATTATATCCAGTAGCACTACATACTACTAACATCATATGATTAGTAACAAATACAATGCTTTTATCAAAAAGAAATATTTTTCTATGCTCAAAAGGGCTTCAGGTTTTTTAACGTATGGAATGCCTGTTAAAACTCCCATTCTCGTATAGAACAAAACAAAATGCAAATATGAATATACATGAAATAACTTCTTAACGTAAGTCATTTTAGAAACTGACGTGGTATCTTATAGCCTTATTTAAAAAAAAAAAAACAAAAAGCGAACATATTTCATATACATTAGGTTCTGACGATAAATGGTGACGGTTTATTATAATTATATATTTATTGACAATTTGTATACAAATACAAATATACAAATAGCCTTGAGAAGTTAATTTACTGTCGTTTTTCAATTCTTTTAAAAAATTAGACAACATTAAAATTCTAGGCCGCCAGGCCGCCAACTTCACATAAATGAACAAATAAGAAAAGTTTTCTCAAAGTGATTTTTTTTCTTTTAATACATCCTTTAAATAACAAGAATTTTCTTTAGAACTTCATTAAATGCCGTTTTATTGTTGAAATAACATGTCTACATCATTGAAAAATTTGCCGTTAGGCCGCTTGCCGCAAGGCCGCCACTTACAAAAAATGAAAGAATAAAAAAAAATCTCTCAAAGTGAATTTTTTTAAATTTAATATACCTTTAAATATCAAGTATAGTCTTAAGAACTTCATAAAATCTCGTTTTTATCATATTTATAACATTTCTACATCTGTCATATTTCAAACTGCTAGGTCGCCAGAGAAAAAAAACTTTCTAAAAGTAATGTTTTTTCTTTTATATAACTGCGAAATGAAAAATATGTCTTTAAAAGTTAATTAAGAGTCGTTTTTTCAACATTTTTCCAAAAATTAGACAACATTAAAATTTTAGGCCGTTAGGCCGCCAACTTCACACCGGCAGGCCGCTGGGCCACTAGGCCACCAACTTCACGCCGCTACACCGCTGGGCGCTAGGCCGCCAACTTCACTCATCTGTGAAAGTAGTGGGTCTATAAAAAGAAACGTGACTGTTACAAACAAGTTCGTTTATACTGTAGGCAACATCAGTACGATAGATTCAATAGACCTTTAGTATGTTTCCATATTTTAACACAGTATAGTCATAGACAAGTGCTACGTGAATTATTTGCAAGGTTAAAGACATGATGACATTGCAGAAAATACAAGATGTTTTATATACATATACTACTATTTTAGTGTTTATTGTTCTGTGATCAATTTGTAATTCGTCCTTTTCATGGAATACGATTTTTTTTGTCTAAGATAATTATCTAAAATTCTATCTGAAAATCCACATAGTGTACGGTGGAGTGCGTGTAGCTTTCCTTATCGATTTTCCAGTATTTTAATTAAATATGCTTCAGACACTGTTATAACTCATTTACTTTACGAAGGCAGTATTAAATTAAATGTATTTATCTGTCTAACAACAGTTATCCCTTGGTAATTCAAAATGCTAGGCCTGCCTTTTAAAACGTGTTTGCACTTTACAAAACGTTTCCATATTCTGACCTCTTTTGTCAAATTAGTGTTTTTGTTTTGGCTTGGTAGTAAATGTCAATTCATTGTTTCCTGTAATTGATGGCTGAATCAGCTGCTGCGATGACATACGAGCTATTTAGATACTCTGTATATCACTGTAAAATTTAGTACTTTAGAAGATAACGTTAACATATGGCTAATATGATTTAATTTCTACAGAATATGATATACAACCACTGACTACACAGTTATTTAAATAAACGCTGATTCATTGATTTATATACTTACTGAATAATTACTCTCATGTGTTTCATAATCTTCTGATTTTATAATTAAATAAAAGCAATTCGTGATTTTTTTTCAATTTTACATATATCTTATAGAAACCCTTATAATTGTATTGCCAATGAAATGAAATATACAATGTAACGTATCTAATAATGCTACGTTGTATACTAGGTATGAATTTTGGTTCGATGTTGTAGAATAATGCACGATTCGAGTTGCGTAGGAATATCCTCACGAAAATCGATAAGCCTTGGTGATTAATTGCAAAACATATAAACGATAAACCATACAGTTATAGGTTTGATAAGTATGTACAAGTCCAATATAATTCAGAATGGTACTAAATATCATTACTTTAACATCCGATATCTTTAGACTTAGTTTCAAATTGATACAACTACCATTGAATGGAATTGACTGAAAAGCTTGTAGGATAAATGGTACAAAGAAGTTATGATTATTCATCATTAATAAAGCGTGAATTCAGAAAAAGGATCATTATGCTAAACTAATCCCATTTAAAATAGCTGATGAAATACTAGTGGAAAAGATACTGTAAAATCCCATGATAATGATTTTGGTCGCATTTGTTTTATAACCTTTTATTGTCATCAAATCAATGTTTGTTTTTTCTTCTGACTCGCCTGAATCTCTGTAATGTAAAGTCAAGATAACGCCTGTTGACGCATAGACATAATCCTGTTATGTTGGTATAGTACTAATACTTGTATGATGTTCACCATATTCAGTATAAAAATTAAACATTATTATGAAATTATTATTTTAATTAACCCTTTGTCTTGTAAATATTTTCATTGTCATCGGTGTTTAACACATATTCAATTCTTTTATTGAATAAAAAGTAAATAAACATCATAGAAACTAAATACAAAACAAAATACTTATCTTTTTTGACGCCAAAATGCCGATGATTTTACAATTCTCATGCTTTTTTTCTCCATTTAGAGGTTCGAGTCTGTTTATCCGGAATGGAATGTGTTAATGTGTATATTGAGTCCAAATATATACGCCTCATTATGATAAATGTACAAATGTAAATATATAATTCTTTCTCTCATAAATGTAGTATTATAATGATCTGCACAGTTGTGAAATAAAGCATTAAAATGTGAGCGTTTCAAAACGAAAACTCTATTACTTCCATAGAAGTTCGCGTTAAATACTGTGATAGGATGGTTATGTTTCCCTTAAGTCAGTTTTTATAGAGAATGCGTACCGTGTCTAATTTATACTTAGACATGTTTAAAAAAAGTATTTTGGCTTAAATTTCTTAAAAATAAAAAAACAAAAGTTTTTGAAGGAAAACAAATAAATAGACTGAAAACTAAAACAGGTTTAATGCTCAACACCGGTGAATTTGGTCCGATATACAAAAATGCCTCTTAGATGAAGAAAACATGTTGACGCATGATTTAATTTTAGCCTTGTTCCTAGGTAAACTATCCTCATTACAGCAAATCAGACATTTAAGGTTCTTCCATTTGAAGAAAAAAGCAATTTAAAAATGTTAAAAGCAAAAAGTTAAAATTGGATTCCAAATTGTAAAGCTGATGTATGTGAATGTCTTCAGCTGTATTTTCATTGACAACTCGCACAACAAGATAAAATAATGTTTCTATTAAAAATCATATAAGACTTGGCAAATAATACCATTAATTATATTTAAATATGTGTGACACAAATGTCAGACAAAAAACAAGAAGAAGAAAAACAAGAACACAACACGTTATTGATTCGATACATGTGACTTCAGTGCCAACAATGCTCTTTTTTTTCTACAATTTGAACATATTAAGTTAAAGCGCATTTCTTTTGGTAATTTTATTACGTTAAGGTTCATATAAAAAAAATGTCGGCCCTGGACCGCAAACTCAATATCGGTCACGTCACGTAGTTTCATGATCAATCAAACCCAGAGGCAAATCTGTAACTATAAAGTAAATTTGTTATTAATCACCTGGATGTTAATTTATGAATTCATTTCTGTCCCTCGCAGTGGTACATTGAAGGGATTTTCTCCCCTTGGTATACATGATGTGAGAACATGAAACGATGAAACGTGTTTTTTTTTTGTTTTTTTTTTTGCTAATGGTACAAACGGGAAACAACAACAAATATATTGGCAATCTGGTTTATACTTGGGAGCTACGCCCATTCTTAACTTTAAAACTGAACAATTAGGATTATGCAATTTTTTCCATTTTAGTAACGGTGACATTGACCCTGATTTCAAGGGGTCAAAGACAATCCCATTCTATGTCTTACTATAAGCTTGATATATCATAAAATATTATAAACAATATACAGTGTACTAAGTTTGATTAAGATATCTATTTTTAGTATAGTAATTGTCCGGAAACCATTATTATATTTTTAGTCATCTTGTAATGGTCACCTTGACCCAAGAGGTTCAAATGTCATAACAGCCTGGGGTTTTATATATCTTGCTATATAAAAAGTTAATCGGTGATATTTCTGGAACATCGTTTTTAATTATATCACAAATTACAAAGGTGTTGATAACAAACACATATCTGAAGTCTTAATTTAATCCCTGAGGAAGTATATAAGTTACAGACAAAATAAGGAAAGTTACAAATTTATCAAGAAGATAATTCTGAATATTGACCCTTGAGTAATGACCCGTGAGGATAAGTAACAAATGTATGAAATTTGAAATACATAGGTACATATCTTAAGAAATAAAGATGTTATTGTGAAAAGTAACATTTAATAGGAAAGTCCATGAGATTATTCTTAAGATATTGATTCTAGAGAATCGTGTCACATAAGACGGGGTTGATGATAAAGAACATATATTTGATGCCTGAAGATGATCCCTAAGGCTTAAGAAAAAAGAGGGCCGTGAATGCTACAGGCACAGTTTGGTGATCACCCATCAATTAGGTCGGAAGAAATATATATTTTTTAAGGTTTGTTTCTATTTTAAGCTTAAGTGGTCTCTACAATGGGCGGATCAAATTATTAAGAACAAATCTGATATTAAACTACCTAAGAATGCTACACGCAAAGTTTGGTGATAATCCATCGATTAATTCGGTACAAAAATGTTTTAAGTGATTTTGTTCTTATATTTTTAGCTCTTTTGACCCAAACATAGGCCAATTCGAAGGATATGAGCAAATATAAGTATGACTGTCACAAGGAAACTACAGACCAAATTTCATGTAAATTTTCCCAGCGCTTTAAGAGAAGAAGATGAATGATGAAAAATGACGACGGACGACGGAGCATCCCCTTTTGAGTTTTGATAGTAATTGTGCACCATACACCTTCAGTTGTGGTGGGCTGAAAAAAGAGGAGAGTATAAAGAATAATATATTTTACAGAAATTGTATGTTCAAGGGGAAATAATTCTGAAACTATTTTTCTAGATTATTGAACGTTGTTACATGAGATGTTTTTCATAATAAGGAACATATATTTTAGTTTGAAGTTGATGCCGTAAGAAATGAAATGAAAAAAATATAATAAAACTATTTTACTCCACCAAAACTTTGATGAGAAACTGGTCGCAATGAAGTACGCGGGGTGAAGTAAAACAGTTCTCTAAAAACTTTATAGAGCTAAAAAAGTACATTACTTGTATCTTTATCACGTTTACAGTTTGTACAGTATCTGACAACAATCAGCACTGCTATTAGAGCTACAGCTACAGCTAGGACAATAAGAATTATTTTCCATATTGCAAAATCTTGTCCACCATCTTTATTTTCATCTGCGTCTATATCACCGTTACCATAAGCTTTTAAAAAAGAAAAGGAATTACTCTGATTCTCAATAAAAATTTGATTACAGAAATCTGTGACATTAAGTACAGTTAAATTTTAAATAGATCTTCCTGTACAATCATGGACTTTACAGTAAACAAAAGCCATACAATTTAAATATTGATCAAAATGTTACACTACATGAAGGGCTTTCGATTTGATCTCCTTGAATTAATTCCAAGTATTACAGTTGTGACTCTCAAATTACTAGTTCGAAGTTATATTATCAAATATTGAACACATAAAAGAATCCATAATTGTGGTTTTTGTAGCCACTGCGCACTACTTAGAGAATATAATACTTCCCATCTCATATCACCAATAATAACAAGAGCCACTGCCGGGTAGGGCAGCGCTCGACTTTTTTTTACTTTTTCTTGAAAAGCAAACTGATAGGCTTGAGCAAAGTTTGAAAAAGAAAAATTAAAAAAGAGTTTTCAATATTTTTGTATTTCTATAGGTATGTCTAGTAAATTTGTTGTTCTGTATGAATAATTTCAATAATGTACAGTGATCAACATTACATCTGAAAATATGCATATGGTCCTCGTTCCATAGCTGTATATTAAAGGGCAAGGAAGCAGGTCACTACGTCAAATTATGTAGGTAAGGTGATACGTTCAAACGTACTTCTAAATTTGCACAGCGCCCAAATTTCAAAGATGTACATCAAAGGACTAGAAAGGACTAGAAAGTAGGTCACTTTGTCAAATTATTTATGCCAGCTCATATCAAAATTCAACAGTAGGTAACTTCGTCAAAATCAAGGTCGGCTAATATAAATGTTGTTTTTCTTTTACATCTATAACTGTGCACATGACTCAAATCAAATAGCTACAACTAACACCAAAAATCTTCACGATAAAGGTCAATAAAAGTTCAAAGTCATTCATATCCTAATCAATATGCATGTTTGGAAACAATTCTTGTTCTATCCAAGTATAATTTTAATCCTCACATAAAGAACAAAATTATCATGACCAATTTAACAACCATTCCATAATTTGACATTGGCGGTCAAAGTCATTCAAACTCAAAGTCAAGGTCTCTCCAACCTTTTACAAGATCGTGTCCAAAAGATTGTAGTGTCCAGGTAGAAAATATTCCATTCATTTCATCGAAAATTCAATAATTTAAAAATCAAGGTAATGGCCAAAAATGAGACAAGGTCAATTTAAAAAGTAATATTTTTACATAAAGGTCTTATCCTAAAAAATTATCTTTATATGCAGTCAATCTATTCATTAAATAACAAAATTTAAGCCATATACAGCAATAAAGGTCAGACTGTCAATAATGACCTACAATGTCAATGTCATTTATGAGTGAAGGCCTTCAAATAGACTTCAAGGCCAGTCCTAGGAATTCTGTGTTCAAGTTTGAAGACGACAATCCATTAAACAAATAAATAAAGGGCAAAATTTAGTAATATGACTATGATGGGGTTAAGGCAATTAATAACTGAAGGTCAAGTTTTAGTCTGTTCTGCTTATAGGCAAAGGGTTGTTGTGGTAGAGTATGTAGACAATACATTAAGCACTTAAACAGTTATAATTTATTTCAAATTTTTGGGAAAGGCAACAGAAACGCCGACATGACTGTAAGACTCTATAATATATCGACCATTGACACGTCGATCGATGCCTTAGACATCTCGACCCATGGCACACAGACTCCTAGGTCACCGAGATCCCTTAAATAGACTGGATAGTTCTACCCCTTATAGGGATATATATTGAATTTAAAACATTAAATAATTTCAAGATTATATTGTTCATAATTAGGTCTGATAACGACGACATTATTTTCGAAGCTTTTTGACGTATTGCTTAATTCAAATTATGAGCGAAACAAATTGCGTATATGAGATACGAGATAATAACGAGATATATCTTCAATTCTACATATCATTGATTTTGTTTAATATAATTATATTAAAGCCAATATAACATACATGTGTGTCACATGAAAAAAATACACTAAATCTTAACAAAAATACAGAATCTGTAAATATGAATACACAAGCGATGCACAAAACGCTCATGTAATCAACATTCATTCATTTTTTGTCGGGGCCTAGTTAAATATATATTTATTCCCAGCTTTATAAAAATAATGTGTATTATTCCTGCTATATCATGGGACATTTAAAAAACAATGTTAGTTTATTGCCATATTGCTTTACCTTTTCTGAATTTGTCTGATCATGTAATGAAATAATTCAAGCATTAGCGTTTTGCCATAACTTATTTCTCCAAGTATATAACTGCCCTCTTTATGACAAAAATGGATTAAGGGTCTTACCAACCAGGGGTCGAAAAGTCGTGTAAAAAGGGGTGAAAAAATCCATGTGTCTTGAAGTCATATTAATATCCTGATGGGTCGAGAAGCCAAGGGGTTTAAGTGTTTTCTTTGCGACTGTAGCAATATCTCTATTTTTTATTTCGAACAAAATGCGAGCTACAAGCAAATGCTCATAATATCTTACCAATACAGGTACTTGTTTCCCACAAACCCGTGTCTAAACATTCGATCGTCGGTTTTGTAGTGTTATATCCGTCTTCACAAATCACTTTTGCACGAGCTCCATTAGATGAGTCGTTCTCAACGATTAATGAAGCATTCCCATTATTAATATCAATTACTGAAGCACAATCTAAATAAAGCAATTACATATATACTTCTAAATATTCTTTATGTAGTAAATATGCAAACATGACACGAGGTAAATACCAAAGTTTGATCCGGAATGACATTGCTGACATTATGCCAATTACTTTATATTTGAATGTACAATGAATATAATATTGAAATAGAGTTATAGGAGTAATTAAATCTGGCCGATGGATTTACGAAAATATGATCCTCACAATGTGCGAAAGAGCATAGTCTGATCCGTTATTATAGTAAAATGCATTGGCATCAAAAAAGTTATAGATCAAGTTATTCTATTATATCACTGTTACTTCAATGAATTCTTAGTAAATTGGAAGTACAATATGGTATCACATCATTTGTATATGATGCTATATCCTAATTGTGCTCTCCTGAGCATTACAAATATCACACATTAAACCAAATACATTTACAAAAATTACAAGTTGAAACCTAGATTAGCCATTCAACACTTTAATTTCCATAAAACAGTCTTGTCATTGTATCGTTTTTTTGGGGCTAAATTCAATGAAATAGATTTTTAATAGTAAACAAGCTATTTTTATTGATCAAAAATGACTACACTTCTGACTACGATCCCACACTACAAGTTATCTTCCTTTTCGATATACGCTTCACCTATAATCGATCAGGTTTTTTTGTTTCATTTTACGCCTTTTCCCAACAGTATTTCAGTCATATTGGCGGGTAGTTTCCTAACCATCGTTCCTGGAGAGTTACACCAGTACTACACTACTTTCCTCCGCGCTAAACTACCAGGGCATATCCCGGGGATTGAGAGGTAATTGGATTAGAAGTCATCGACTCTAACTACGGAGGCGGTTAAGAAATCGATCCGTTATTTATAGATTACAAAATAGCAAAACATACCAATACATCGAGTCTCCGGTACAGAAGAGCAGCTGAGACTGAATTGAGTATTGATTGCTGAAGCTAGAATAAAAGAGATAAAATCATTACACAAATAGCTTGAATAAGACAAGAGTTAATCAATTATATTATATTTGTATATGCAGAAACGGAGGAAATGAAAACAAAAATACTTGATCAAATGAAATGATATTTATAATTACCAGCAAATCCAAGAAAAAATAATCCTTCCTGGTTAGCATTGGAATTGTCCAAAAAGTTAATAGTGATATAATGCTTGTTTAGAGTGTGAGTGGTTATGTCAGATCCATAGTAACTTTCACATTTGATCTCCTGTAATGTCACGTTTAAACTGTCCCATATTTCTAGTCTTTGTTCACAGTTTGATGTATCCAAATACAAATCAGCGTCAATGATATATAAGTTAACACTAGATGAACAATCATATATTTCTAGAGAGCAAGAACACGTTGATCCGCCTGTTGTCACACCTGGATAATCTTTATTTGTTAAATAAAGTGGTGAACTCGATGACTGTATTGTGTCACTTGAACATACGGATAACTTCCTTTCAGCTGTAATCATAAAACATAATACTTTATGAATAACTAAGAATGGGGTTTTGTGTCATAAAAAGATTTATTACCCTTCCAGATTTTTTCCGCCTTTTTGATTGGATATTGATCACCCGAAAGAAATTGATATAACCGAGCCAGACGGGTAATATACACACTAAATTTCCCCGTTTGGTACCCAACGTTGTAAACAATATGCGCTGAGGTGATGCGCGTACGGTTCGATTTTACGCGGTGTAAATTCCGATTTAAAAGCAATTTTTACCTGTCAAATGATAAATATTTACCAAAATAGAGTACTGATACATATATCCATCAGTATCGAAAACAAATATGACCTTGTGAAAGCTTGATATTAATGACAAAAAAGTGCGTTCAACAGACTACTCCTTTTCTCTTGTTTGGCTCGCATAATATAATTTTATTCAACTACTGCAATAAATTCGTAAGGTACGGGAAAAATACGTCATGTATTTATGTGACGTCATGTTGTGACGAAGAGGTATCCTAAAGGGAATCTTATTTCGACGTTTCATTTGAAACAGCAATGATTTTTTTAAACATCGTCTAAACTCGGCAGGGGAAGGGTAATAAAATTATTATTTTGGTTTTGGAGTGATATATGTGGATATATTACCTGCCAAGATAAAATATCACCCTCGCCTAACGGCTCGGGTGATATAAAATCTTAACAGGTAATATATCCACATATATCACTCCAAAACCAAAATAACATATAATGTCTCCCACAACTAGGTATGGTACTCATCACTCTTGTGAAGTTTTGTCGATATCCCACAGCGGTTTGGCCTATTTATAGCTGTGATGGCTATTTTGTGCTGCCGATATAAACGATTAGGAAATGTACTGATCATTCCTCTGAATTTTTCATTGATATCCTGCCAGCAGTTTGACATTTGCAAGTCGGACAAGCTTGATGCAGACGGACGGAGAGACGGACAGACGACGAAGGCAAAAAAAAATTATCTAAAATTTTTGGGAGCCATAAGTGAGTCAAATTCTTTAGCAAACACAAAATTTCAAAACAATTTTTGATATCAAATTTATATGTGTATTTATTGAAATTTATTTACGTCTATAAATTAATTTGATTGAGTATTTTACTTTGTTAAAATCAAGTTTCAATACATAAGAATGTTGTTAAGATTAAGTTATAAAAACTTAGTTGAAAGTTGCTTACAAGGAATACAATAATAATAAATTGTAACATAGGAAGGTTCGTGCGTTCCTAGAGAACAAAAGGCTCGGACCCCTCCGAGGTCAATAGTGCAGGACGATTTTCCAGAACATTGACGCCTAGCATCACTTCTATCCGGCGTCGTCGCACTTTCTAAACAATGGTCTGTATTGAAGTCGCAACAAATCGAATCACAAGTCGCATCATATCCATACAGTATAGAATCAACAGCTATCACTGAGCTTCCACAGTTTATGTTAACATTGCCGGTATCACAGTGTGTTTCATTTCTTTTTTCTTCTACTGATGACAGTTGTGCTGGAACAAATATTTATATTAATGCTATAATAGTCACATTATTATCATGATTATTCATACTATATTATCATAATTATTATTATAATTATAATAATTATTATTATTTTTATTATTATTATTTTATTATTATTATTATTATTATCATTATTTACTTTTTTATTTATTTATTTGTTTACTTATTTTGTTTATTTATTTTTCATTTCCGTTTATCAATTCATTTTTTAATAGTAGATACAGTTCGCACTTAATATGTTGTATAAATACATGTAAATCAAACACATTTCTTTGTTAAAGATATAGTACATAAAATGTTCTTGATACTGATAGTTCAAACTAATCTGTCTAAGTACATAGTTCAAACAAAACTCTGTAATTACATGATAGCTCTAAACATATTTTGTGGCACGATATTATTTAAAAATTATTTGAAAGAGATACGTGTTTGCATCAATGTTTTCCAAATTATTTTTTTTATCATTATTGTACACGTCAAAGAATGTTACAATTTACGCAAATGTTACAAGATACAATTGTAAATATGTGTAATAAATTAGCTAACTGTAGAAATGGGGCAATTAGTTTTCGAAAGAATATTTTAAAATTTTGATAAATAGATAAATAAATAAATAAATAAATAAATAAATAAAATAATATAAAATAAAATAAAATAAATAAAGAATAAATAAATAAATAAATAAATAAAAAATAAATAAACAAACGCCGGCACATATGTTACCATTCATTCGACATATATACGATAAAAATTAAATTAAATTACAGCAAAATGACATATTACTTTATGGATATAAATAAATAAATGCTTATGTATGTAACGATGGACTAAATATGTTCTCAAATTATATACGTTCAGTTCTATTCTAACAAATGAACGGGAAATATATAAATGAAATAATCTTTACTTGATTTTCTTCACTTATTAGTGAATGTAAATCGATACATATAAATGTCGGTAAAGAACTGTAAACGACAAATTTCAGCATATATTCTTTTTGTGGTCTTATTTACTCTTACGGTTCAGTGTCATTTTGGAAATATATAACAACAGTTAATAGTTACCTATTAAATTGATATTGTTAATAAGAAAGCATATTATACTATATAATATAATTAAACAATAAAATATCTCGCCAGAAGTGCACTGTATCATGAATAGAACCATGAACGATTTATATACAACTTCATTCATTCTACTGTTGAAGAAAACAACACTTATTTTCACCCGGAAGAAATATCGTCAATATATTTACATTGTTAACAACCGCCAATGTTATGCATCGATAAGCCTCGTTAACCATTAATGGTAAAGATTTGCTTGCGTTTATTCACTATTTAAAAAAAAACTTTTTAATGGCGTCAATATCAGGTTACACAACTTCCTATTAGCCTAAGTACTTGACTGTATTATTTATTTAAATTCGGTATGTAAGTTGCTTTTTTTTCTTTACATGTAATTATTTTGAATAAAGAAATAAATATCAAATTGAAAGGAGGTATTGATTATATTTAAATCGATGGTAAAAATGGTTTAAAATTTTAATTAAATAAAGTATTGATAGCATCTTCCACATCGAAAGGTTGAATTATAGAAGGGAAACAAGTAGGTTACTTTATTATCATGAGTGCTTTCCCTTTTAAAATTTTCTCATTCACTCTAACTTAGTCAGGGGAGATGTTAGTGATTCAATACACTATACTTTCCATACAAAAAGCTAGAGAAGTGATATGTTATAATTATTTAATATACTGATTTCATGTGATGTTACTGCCTTCGTGTATTGTTCTCACGAGGTTGTTCTATGAGAGTACTTGCGTGCGATTGCAAATACCTATCGTTATGGACACAAACGTGCGTATGAACCTTCAATGTGGACAGAATATCAACAGTTATTAGCTACCGATTAAATTGATATTGTTAATAAGAAAACATGTACTATATGATATAATTAGACATTAAAATAACTCACCTGATATGCACTGTACCATGTATAAAACCATGAATGATTTATATGCAACTTTATTCATTCTACCGAAGAAGTATAAAACTTATTTTCACCCGGAAGAAATATAATCAAAATAATTTCGGTGTTAACAACCGCCAATTTTATACACCGACACGCTCGTTAACCATTAAAGGTAAAGATTTTCTTTTGTTTATTCACTATTTTTAAAAACAAACGTATTCAAAAGCGTCGATATCATGTTTCTAAACTTCCTAATTGATCTTTAAAATCAACGTAACAAAAGAGAAAAGTCGAAAACGGAAAAATTACCATATATGGATCATCAATTTCGTACCTGTAATATTTACTAAAAGTATGTATTTTTCTTTTTTAATGCAATGATTTTGAATAAAGAAATAATATTTTTAATTTGATACAGATATTGATTTTATTTAAATCGGGGGAATATTGGTTTAATTTACATTTCAATTCTGAATCATTAAAGTATATGATCGCATTAGTTGAAATACAGGGGAAACAAGCAGGTTACTTTATAATCATGATTGATTTCCCTTTACTTCACATTCACTCTAAATTAGTCTGAGGGAGGAGTTGTTAGTGATTCAATACACTATACATTTTATACACAGAAATAGAGGAGTGTTATGTTATGATCATATAAAATAATGATTGTATTTATTATAACTGTCTTCGTGTAATGTTCTCACGAGTGTGCTAGTGTGCGTGTGAGTGTTTATTCCTATCGTTATGGACACAAATGTGTGTTGTCAACCCTCGGAGCTAACACATTTTTCGCTGTGGACACCTGTACACAGTGTCTGAAAAGATACCACACATAGAAAAGTAATAAAGAGGGTTATCTTCCCTTTAAATCAGGAACTACTACCAGTGAAACACACACGTTGGTAATATTTTCATAAATAAATATTAAGATTAACAAGTTTTACACTTGACACACTAAAATCCATGCACTAATTTGACACCAAAGTAAAGAAGAGGCAATTTCAACGGTACTTACCAGTAACTGCTGTCGGACGGTTATAATCCTTAAAGCTGTATGCCTCCAGATGTGCCAGAAAATTTCAAGAAAATCAAACACTAGGAAAACAAACTGTGCTTTAAAGAAAAGTAAAGAGATACAAGATAAAAAATAATGATTCCCATGTTATATGCGATTAATGGCTGATTTTGCAGTATTTGTATTTACATTTCTACTGCTTGAGTACCGCAGTAAGGGCTATTTTTACTTATTTTGGCCTCGTGTTTGGTAATTTACATAGGTGGAAAGTGCCATTTGCAATATGTAATTTTGTTTGTTAACTTCAGAATATCTTTCTTTATATATTCATTTTAATTTTATTATTATTATTATTATTATTATTATTATTATTACTATTATTACTATTATTGTTATTATTATTATTAAGAAGGGATTTGTTTAATAGATACTCGTAATAAGGCGAACATAAGATATGATGTATTCACGTAGAAAGCATCATCCCGCTGCTTACACATATACACATGTAAAATTATAAAGTAATATAACGATGAGGCAAGTTTTCAAGCTTTCAAGATGTATTTCTAACCAGTTTCTTTTGACGGTCATTCTGTGGTGTAAGCCTTCTTCCCCATATTGCACGGATATTACTAAAAGAAAATAAAACAGTTGTCGATAATTATATGATATATAATAGATCATTATTAAAGTATATTTTTTAATTGGGCTAAATGGTCATGAAACTATATATTTAAATCAGTAATTGTGTCTACAGTTTATTTTTCTCGATATTTTATCTTTATCCAGACGAGCTCGTATAACTTCATCACTTTGCTTATATTTAGTGCGATTTTTCTATGTTTAATTTTCTCGCTCATGGCTTTCTTCCTTTCATATATGTATACATATATGTATACTGTATACATATATTATGAAATAGATTTAATGATATTTATTTCCTTTACTACAATGTTGGAGACTGTTCTCAATTTGATTCATTTTCTGTAATTCTACGTACTAGAATCAATTCAGAGTTGATTTAAAAGGGAATAACTCTTACAGAAGTTACCATTGTTAAAAACGAAATGGAAACGATAAGCAAATTTTAAAGGTATAAACAATAGATATAATGTAAATACAATACATGTAGTAATTTCATCAGATATTTCTCTTATGCCTTTAGATACAAGTCATCAAACATCAAAGTTAATACACTTTTTATTAAGGGATGCTTTATTGAGAACAAAAAAAATGTTTACAAAAGAAATTATAAGAGGTCAAAAGCTTTGGCTGTCTATTTTTGTTGATATTATTGATTTTAAAAGAAAATTAATAAATCATCTTGGCTTTAACATGGCACATGACCACATCAAATGATAATCTTAACACTCACTTAAACAAATCGCGAATAAATTCTAATATCACAAGTACAATGGATTCATGAATAAGTCACCAATGTAGTGCAAATTATTTGGCAAGAAGTGCTTGAAGTAAAGATTATAATTACAAAGTGAAACGAAAGTCTAATAATATTAACTCTAGACTCCCTATGTGAACGAGTTTAGTATGTTTGATTTATAAATTTTTTAATATATTAAATAATTAGAGTTATACATTACGCGTAAGTGACAGTTGTCTCTAAAAATAGAAGATCGGGAAACGGATCGACCGCTTTATTTTTACAAATTATTAAGATATAGAAATGACCGTTAGATTAAAGGTGTCAATGTAATCTATTGTCTTAAATTTTAAATTTTATTTTCCCTCTTCATTTCTTTCGGTTTGGCGAATACATAAAAGGATTTATCTAAAAAAAAAACCTATTTAACCTTAAGAAACACTTGGGCCGCTTTAAGTAATATCTGCATTATAAGAGAATTCAATAAAACAATAAAACATACTTAATATGGTTATTACAGTTTATCTGTGAATATATCTCGACGTTTACAAATTTTAAATTAATAATCGTTTCTAAGTTAAACTTTTAGTTGATAATATGCCAAAAAGGCCAAATGTATTTATTTAATTAACACCTTTCAAAGAATAAATGACTTTCTCATTTGTAATGTTTTAATCTTTAATCTGTGGTTATATATGTGATCAATAGGTATCTCTGCATGGTTTATTATGTATAATTACTTCAATATATGAAGAATCCTACAGAATTAGTCTAAACCGGAAGTTACTATTAGATATAATGGTATTTAGTCAATGACCCAAAACTCTCTTTTAGATTTAATATTACTCTACCTAATTATCAAACATGAGTATAAAACTAGGTAATTTACCAGCAGTGATGTAAGGTGCTTCCTCAATTATTTCTCGTCTCATGCTATGCTAATCATGTAATAAAAGTATCCATTTTCTTTTAAGATGCAATTATTCAGAACGCATATACCTTTCACAATATGTTATTTCTTGTAAGCTTTTTTCCTATTTCCTGACAATTTAACTACCCTTCAGAAGTACATCTGATAGAGATTAACATCGAAAATACCTCGGACATCTTTCTTTTCATATACCCTTTTTTTCAACTTATCAACTTTATAATATTCAAACATTTTTTCATGTGAATGAATATATTCTTTTCAATGGTTTGGAAACGCTCTAACGTTTTGTAGCTTAAATATATTTTCAAACAATTGTGTGAATACTCAAACAGGTAGAGATATGAATGATGAATTTCTCATGTATCATTCAACTTTCATAATATAAGTACACATTGACTTTATGTACAGAATTTGTGGAATTTAATGTGACAAAACAATTAACCAGTAGACCTCATGAAGCAATCATATAATGAAAAAAAATCCAATCCCAATGACTATATAAGAACATTCTGGTGTTTTTAATACGTATACCTATAAAATAATACTTACTGCTATGATAGTATGATGGCATTCATGATTGTAACGGAGTAGGTCTCTGCATTATTACCTATCGGTTAAACTTCTGCACCTAAATACTGACCGACTTTTACAGGCATCGTTGAATTTAACTGGGAACTCCTGTAATTTCAACATCTTAATGATTTCTATATACCAGTTTACGTATGAAACTACTGCTAAATGGTTCTGTTACATTATTTCTTATCATATCTACAATGACAATTAGGATTATGTAAGACATAAAGATAAACAATCGTTAAACATTGAAAATACTTTCTAATACGCTTTCATTTAGATTTATTTACAGGTAGGCTCTGATGACGCTAGAGTGCGTACGTATGATCAATAGTATTCCAAGAAAAGATAAGTTTAGAAAGCAGAAGACACAAATTTCATCACATTTGCAAAGGTTGCATACAAGGAAATGACCAGAATGGACCTTTCCGGTGTTTACAGTTTTTTTTTGTAAATTGGCTAACTTGTTAACCAATTGCTACACTGACATAATACATAGTCACTGGTTGACCTGGTTTGCAAAAAAAGAACATGTGAGTTCTTCTTTAATACGCTTCACCCAACCAAATCCATTCTTACAAAACATTTGAGCAGTGCCACGACAAAACCAACATAATGGGTTTGCGACCAGCATGGATCCAGACCAGCCTGCGCATTTGCGCAGTCTAATCAGGATCCATGTTGTTCGCATATCAACTCTAATACAAGTGAAGAAACTTACAGCAAACAGCATGGATCCTGATCAGACGCGGCTCATTTTTAGTAATAGATTTGTTTTATACTTTCTCGATTTTTTTATACATTGCTTAATATATAGCCTTTTTTCATTATACTGCACATAACACCATAAGCAAAATAACCGCCTCCGTGGTCGAGGGGTTAGCGTCGGTGACTTCTAATCCAGTTACCTAACTTGCGTAGGTTTGATCCCCGGGAGATACTTTGGTGGTCTAGCATGGTGGAAGGAAGTCAAGTACTGGTGTGACTTCAGTCTCCCCGTACATTTAATCAATGATGTTATATTTTCGATCCTTGAAGATCGTTCAGCACGACATTATTGTTGTGCTTGTGGTATTTTTAGTTTCAACTTTTCGGCATTTTCTAGTTGGGTGGTTCCAATATTCCTTCTTGAATAATGTTGAATCACCCTTAGGATATGTTGCCTGCTTTTTAAATTTGTCTTTTGACGTCTTATCTGTGATACGCAGGCTTCATAACCTCTGATCCCCTTTCAAATTTCCATTTTATTTAGTTCCGCCCATTGTTTTCTCGTTTAGGGCACACGCTTTTTATTACTTGGGGACCATACGCCGCTTTTCATGGAATGGCACGAAAGTGTCACATTGAAGGTTCCATGATAACCGCCGTATGAATACATCTGCGGATGTTTCTAAATTCAAAATTTTACTATTTCACGTCTAAATGTTGAATTCTGCTTAAGCCGGTGCTAGGGGGCGTGGACGGTGACTTGCACTTTCCAGTACCGTCCATGAACAGGCTCAATCAAACCGAGCCTGCAACATTTTCAATTTTGCCGTGTTGGGCTTTCTTTAGGGATTCTATATTTATCTATTTCAGGAACGATGGTTAGGAAACTACTCGCTTATATAACTGAAATACTGTTGGGAAAAGGCGTAAAATCAAACAAACAAACAAAATTTGCTGGTACTTACTACTCTTTGTGACTGACTACCCGCTGTGAGCTTCTCTCTATAACACACAGTTCCGTGACAATTCAATAAAAAATCTACCGAAAAAAACATTTTCATATTCGGGTCATGTAGATATATATGTATTGCATTATGAATCTATAACGAGGTTGTTGCTCATATAACTCACGCAGTTCCATACTAGGGCGATCAAAATGTGACGGAAATATGAACATGAAGGTATAATTACTTGTTCATGTGGGGTACACCATTATTTGTAATATATGACCATTATTCTTTCAACGAGTTCCCCTTCATATTTGACACACATAAATGTTTTAAGGTCGACATTTATGGTAATTGCATAACTATGAACATTTTGGTTCTTTACAGTCATTTATTTCCTATCCTTTCATTGTTGAAAATATGCATAACTTTCTATAGGCATCCATACGTTAGAGACGTGGGAATCTTAGTGATGTTTAATAAGAAACGAAAAACAAGATATGAAATTCAATGAATTCACGTGGTTATAAGAGATAACGCATATTAACAGGGAAGAATTATTGTATATTTACAGCTTTAGCTATCCATCTTATGAACATAAATGTCTAGAGGCAGACGGTTCTGATTATTGCAATTAGTTTAGTGCTACCTCGGTCAATTGACCAGACGCCAGTTGTCAATCAAATCGATAAAATGATATCCGTTTAGCCAATCAGCGATTACGATTTTCACCCCCCCCCCCAAGCGGTGTTACCTTAGACATTACCCTTGGACATTACGGTTCCAAGAAACACGGCGACGAATTATTCGATGTATTAGAATTTCATAAATTTATCGTGAAAAATCAAAATAAAATGGTTAAAAGATGTCAATGGGGACTATGCAAGTCAGATTCTCGTTTCCCTGATCGATTGGTAGGGGAAATCAAGTTTATTCCGTTTCCGAAGCCTAAAAGAAACCGTGAAAGGTGCCTACGCTGGAACAAGGCTTGTGGACGTCCTCACGATCAACTAAATGTAGAGAAAATTGACGGGAATTATAATTTATATGTGTGCACTAAGGTATGAACAAATTAAGGAAAGAACGAAGTTTTTTAAAATTGTTTTTGTATAATTTTCTAAGTTCTAAACCGAGTAGACTAGGAAAATGTTCCTGAAAGTGGGTGGGGTATAATGTCTTTGCTTATCATTTTCATGGCCGGTTTTGTATCAGACGGCGTATTTAGTTTTGCATAAGGCCTTGACAAATTTGAAATATTTTCAGCAGCTGAATGGAATCCATTCTGTCATGAGTTGCACTGACTACGCTCAGTCTATATATAAAATTCTGGAAACAAAGTGATCCTTCGGAAGCATCAATCACAACAAAATAACATAAGAATTGCAGACTCGGTTTTATTGAGTCTGTACATGAGGGATAATGAATAAGTGCAACATCTCTCACGCCCCCTAGCACCGGCTTGAGCGGTACTCAATTCTCAACACTTTATAGTGTTGGCATCAATGATCCCAAAGGACCAGAAAATATAACAACACTGAAGTGAAGTACGGGTGGAATATGTGAAAAAGTGGACTGGGTGACAGACATTTCGTACCAAGACCGTTCACCCTCATACTGGTGTGCTAGCCATAATCATATTCAAATTAATACAGTTAATTGTAACTGGAAGTCTATACCCAATTTTGGGAGCTTATATGCAATAATTCATTATTTTAAAATATCTGGTTCAGACAAATTTTCACAAATGAAAAAATCTTTAAAAGATAAAACAACACATTTTCCTGTTAAACATATTTTATTTCTGCAAAAAGGATATAAACCATCAGAAAAGTTTTAATACAGTAAGCTGTAACAATTTGATTGCAGCATTTCCCTGAAGGAGGGCCATCTGAGCAATACCCCGACCCTTATCCAGCAGACAGTTGTACAGGTTCAGCAGCTAAGCACACACCATGCAGAGCTCCACCAAAACCTAGACCTATGTCAGAGCCTCCCAAAAAGCGGCGCAAAATCCTATCACAATTACAATCTTAGTGAGTATTTACACATACATGTAAACATGTATATTAATCATAACTTAAACAATATTCAAGTGTTAAATGTGCATAAATACCTGTAGGTAAACTTTATTATAACAGTAACATTTTTAAAAGTTAATTTGATACTTATAATTGTAAAAGTTTAACAAGAGATACATGTACATTTTTTGCCAAAATAAGAATATTCTATTGAATCATAAGGTAATTGTGATAATATGATTTGAACTGATAAATATTTCAGTGATGAAGAAAATAGCCAGCAATACAACTTTCAAGGAGTAACAACAGATCAACCTCAATCTGTAACAAATATGCATTTGAAAAATGACAATGTCACTGGTGAGTTCAGAGTTTGCTAACATACTCAACATATACTGCAGACATTTTTCTTAATATTTCTTTCATGTCAGTTTTATTTGGATAAATTCTTTCCACATTAAGATCATTCTTTGTAAAAGTTACAAAATCGCAAAATTCTGCCCCTGTTACTAAAAGCTGCCCCTGTACTTGATACCAGTACTTATGTGTACGCTTTAATAATAATTCTCCATTTACCTCCTCAACAAACAAGTTATTATTTTTTTTCAAAGTTCCTTAACGCATCTAAAATGTTCCAGTCTCTGATAATATAGGGGCACTTAACTTCCAATATACCAGACTGTCCATTTTGACAGACCTTCCCATCCGGGGTTGCACCAAGAAATGGAAATAGGGGATTCACTACAAATCCACATTCATGTACATGATTCTTTGTTTTTTCGATACATGTTGATGGCGACTCTTTCACTATTTTTGCCATATGAAGTGGGCACAGATTTGAAGGACTTGGGCTGTATCGTGTTTTTTACAAATTTATCATTTAAATCAGCTTTACGAATCATAAAATTCCAAAATGTTGAGGCAGTGATTCTGTTCTCTCTTTCTTTATGCCATACTGTTGAATGGCTTTGATCTCTGCTGGACATTTCTAAGGCCTCTGCTTCTTCCTGAGATTTTACCAACATAGCCCATTTATCACTATTATTTAGCACCAGGTCCGGTACTTCTATTTTTGGCTGGAATGGCATTGATAGATCTCCACAATAATTTGTGTGACCCTGAAGCTCTAATGGCTGCATAAGTGGAACCTGCAAAATATTTTACAATGCTTATTATTAAACTTATATTAAACATGAATTTTTTGTTTCAATGATATCACCATTAGACATGTTGGCCTTGGCAGCTGAAAATATGGAATTAAAAAGAAAAATGGCAGAGCAGTTGCTTGAAAATAGTGCTCTGAAAGAGGAATTGTCTACAAAGACTAAATCAATGGCACAACAGGTCCTAGAAAATGAAAATCTAAGAAGGAAAATTACAACTAAAAAACCTTCACATAACACCAAATTTGACGATAATGTACAAAAGAAATGTCATTTCAATGTAGAGTCAGTTGGGGACAGTACAGTTAGAGACAACTTTAAAACTTTAAATTTTACACAGGTTTTACCTATGAACAATTCATGAATATATATAAATTTTTAGTTCCTTACAGCGGTGAGAGCCCTATTAATTTTCCGAAGACAATATCTAGCCAGAAAACAATAAGATTACAAGACCAGTTATTGTAAACCCTTGTGAAATTGCGTTTAAATTTTGAGTGGAAATATAAATACATAAAACAATCGATGAACTTGAACTAATATTATTAGACTTTTTTTACTTTATGTTACCATAAATTTTGTTTAAAACACTTAAGCCAAACAATAAGCAATTGTTTACATTAGTGACTTTTCCTTGAACCCAGTTTATTTGTTTTTCAAATTTTATGACAGTGAAATTTATTCGCGATTGTGTGATAGTGTTGTTTAGGAATCCCCTTAAGACTGTCAATTTATGATTACCGTTTGATATGGCCATCTGAAATGTTCAAGCTAAGATCATTTCGGAATCTTCTTGAATAATATCAACAAAAAGACAGCCAAATATGTTTGTAGCGATCATTTATAGTGATAATTTGTATCAGGAAAAACATCACAATAATCTTGTTAAATTCTTATAAAGAGCAATTAGTCTAGCTATCCCAAAACTATTTCATGCAAAAGAACATTACGATCACGATTTCGTCTTGACTGTATGTTAAACATGAAACAACTGTGATTGTTATTATGAGTAAGTAAAAATGCATTCATGATATATAAGCTCGATAAGCTGTTAGAAACCATCTATACGTTCTATATTCAGGATAACCTCGGACGGTTTTTGGTATTCATGTGATATTACAACACATTATAATAATAAAATATCAAAAATGTATAATGCGATTAGACCGTTTGAAACAGTTAAAACATTTGTATCGAAGGTGCTTATACCTTATGGATAAGTTAATAAAGTCCTTAAATAGCAAAATCTGTAAACAGTGTATACAAAAACACTCTGAGAATTTGCATTTTACTACTACCTTTATCGTTTATTTATTGCTAAATTAAATGCTTTTGTTGTGTGTGCATTAAATCCAGTACTACTTCACATTATTTACTCTATATGATGAGTAACAATCACAATGTTTTTTTAAAAAAGAAATATTTTTATAGCTAAAACAATATATGATGTTTTGATTCCTCAATTAATTAAATAAATACAAAACACTAATTGCAGTTCACACTCTTTTTGTCTAGTAATGATCTAGTAAAAATATGACACATTTAAAATCAGATGGTATTCTGTTCTGAAATTAAACATGAATAGCAATTTAATCAGGGATCTATTTCATCGTGCATTTAATCAGCCAGAAAGTAATGTAATGTTTGAAGCCTACAAAGAAACAGAATGACTTAAAAAGATACCTAGTAATTGAGATATAGTAAGTAATTGAACTTTAGAAAAGGATGTTAGTATTATGAACTAGATACTTGAAGACAAAATAGGATAATGAAAAAGTAGTATCACTGGAAACATCTCATTTTTTGTCCGTGGGAATTGAACTACCAAGTGTTTAAATGACTCGGTCACCTAGTTCAATAGTTTGTGAATTTTTCTAGCAAAATCAATCCCTTTAAATTTGCTTGGAAAAATGTCGTTGTCGTCTTAATGTTTTTTTACCAATAACAAAAATATCTAAAGAAGATTGAACATATTCGTTTAAAGAATTTTAAAGTACTTCCAAATCCTGTTTTAATGATGCAAGAAATACAAGAGAAATGTTCTTTTCTTCTGAATAGAAGAAAAAAGGGAAATAGGAGTAGCATTTCAAACCTAAACCAGGAAGTGAAACCGTCTGATTATTATGAAATAAACTTTTTTCCAAAGTGTCATGCTTTGCAAATACAAAACAAAATGCATTTAAAAATACCAAAAAGATATGGTTTGATATCAAACGCCTTGGCTTTCAATTAAAAACTTAATAAAATTAAATTAAATGATAAAATGTTAGGAGATCCGGACATGAATTCATTTTAACTGAACGACATTTATTCATGTGTATTTTGTTTGGAAAATAAGATATAACATTGTACACTAGATTTGGAGAATACCTCTCCTGGCTTACTTTTGATGAAATATCTGTATATGATTTTTCTTCTTATGTTACTTTCTACGTGACGATTTAATATAGTTCTACAGAGAATCAGCACACCTTTTAAAAATAAATAAAAGATGGGCTACGCAGAAAGCAATACAAACATAATTATATGAAAATTTATAATGTTCACCGGACCTTAAAATCACTCCTAGATATTTAAATTTACACATAGAGATAAATATGAGGAAAATTGATATTAATCATTTGCATTTTACAGTCCTTTGGGATTATGACCTTCAAATGAATAGCGTGTTTTGGAAATGAACTCAAAAAAGCTATAGGGTCCGCTAAAAATATAGCAAAAGATCATATGTCTTTACACAAGGGCATTTATTAGTGCTGGTTTAAAATCAAAAATTTGCAGACCACTTGAGTTCAGTAAATTTTGATTAGGGGGATTTTATGTTTGTACGAGGGAATGATTCAAAACATTCTAACCGGATTTGTAAAATGATTCTTAACCTGTTAAATTGAATTTACATAACAATACACGGAAAAATAAATCGGAATCTATCCCTAAATGAATTACAAAAATACCCAACCAAGAAATATTAACAAATAAAAAAGTTTATGCTGTTATTGGCATGCACATGTAAAGCAATGCGGCGCACGGTATAACTTTAAAATTTGACGTTAACGACGGTCACAGGGTGCGTATTGTCCTTAACGGAGCAGATTTTTTACTCATTCGCGGAGTAGGCCAATATGTGGTACCTTTTCATCCTTATTTGATGCGGCGGAAACTCCCCTGCCTATATATATTTCTGTACAAGTGGGATCATATTGTATTGTAACAGAATGAATGGTGATAAAAGAGCTCCTGTAAATGACGCAAACTTCTGTTATTTCCTTCTGTAACTTGAATTGTTGAAAAAAATCGCACATGCAATTAACTATATTTGTATTAAAAAAATAATGTAAAATAATGTTGCTCTTGAAAGATAATGTATCATACATACGAAAAAAAAACAGAAAATACAACTATGATAAAAATTGTCATTATCTTAAAATAAATAAACGCATAGCCAATTTGAACAGTGGCTGTTAAATTGTTTGACACAATTTCTCCATAAGACTACTGCGTTAAAAAAAGAAAATAATTGATACAATCCTGTAAAAACCAAGAATACAATACATGTGTAATACATTAACTAATTATCCATTTTTAAATCCTCAGAGTTTGACTGCACCGCCCCGTAGTTACTGGTTGAACATCGTTGACCAATGTTCCGCCAGTCAATTGACTGTTCATTTTTCAAACGTCTTGGCGATTGACGATCCCACCAAAACGTCCTGCGAAAATTCTTTTTCTGTCTCTTCCTTATTTGCTATTTCTCTTTATCCTTTTTAATCTTTTAAGCTAAATCAAAAAATATGCTGTGGCTTCTGGAACTTTTCCCTTGATAGCCAATAATCTTTTTCAACTTTTAAAAGTTTTCCGTCTTACATTTACAAATTTTTTCCTATTTGATGATTTTCGAGACATTCCGACATCATTGTTTAAGCGAGTATTTCATTAAACAAGTGACGTTTGAATTGTGATTGTAAATATAAATATGGTTTAAATGAGAGCTCATTTTTATGACAACTCAAAGATTGGTAATTGAGTTTTGGCGTTTTTTTGAAATCAAAATGTGCCATATTGTAAAATACACCAGCAAAAGCGCCTCATGTCAAGGCGAATTTACGCACTGCGCCGGGTGTGCGTTTTACCATGTTTTTGAATTCGCTGTTACGGACAAGCTTTTGTG